ATTTACTACAAATAAAAAGGTACCCAAACCTTACTTGAGTGTTTTCTTTTCCTGTCACGTTATACTTCTACTCCACAACATGTATCTGACAGCTTTAGTTATTCAGAAACAGAAAAAAAAAAATAATATGAAGAGTTTATAAAAATAAAATAATAAAATCTGTTTTAAAAACGATCATTAGTTAATAGCTCAAAATGAGCTCCGCCTCAAGCAACAACAACAAAATCCTACTTTTACATGAATGCATGAGTCAGAATCATCTAATGAGATCATGTCACAGTATAACAGTCACAGGGGACATTTTTCTGCACCAGTACTTTAACTTTGTTGGTAAAAACCCTGCAGATTCGGTTACTAAAGAATTGTGACCAAGATACTTTGCAGGACATTTTATGGTTTAAAATATTGGGTTACATACACCTGTAAACATTGCAGAGCTTTGTCAGATGTAATATAAGTTACATTTGTACACCTGATTTATGGAGGACTGTTGAATCCTTCAACAAAGCTAACAAAGAGCTTCTGTGGCAGGGTGTATAAATCTGGGTGGCTTTCGAAGTCAGCAGCCATGGCACTACTTGTTAGCTTCACGTTATAGCTGCTTCAAGTATGAGTCAATAGTTTTTGGATACTTACTGGGTTTCAGAATTTAGTTTTATAGGTATAGACTGATGCTGATGCTTCCACTGACAGCCCAACACCAGCTAACATCCGCTGTACTGTTATATCTTTACAGTAGAATCTGTTAGCATGACTCACTGTGTCGTTGGCGGGTGGGGAGAGGATGCCGAACAGACTGGAGACACGGCGTCCGATGCCGGAGAGCATGCCCTGACCCTGCTGCAGGGCTCGGTACTGCAGCTTCCCCGAGGGATCTGCACTCGCTCTCAACAGCCGATTCTTCTCTGAGGACAAGACGAAGCTTCCACCCTGACAGGGGAGAGAAAAGTCAGAAATAAAAACAGCAGCAAGAGATGATCTGTGTGATTACAGATGAAGGCTGAAAGTCTCTTTGTTTGGTTTGCTTGAGCTCCCAGCGATTAATAAAAATTAGAGTAGTTGTATCAGAGTCAGGTTAGCAGTTTCAGATGCAAAGGCATAAAATAAATCAGATTTATTGGACTTACATTGACAGCAATTACAAAGTTGCAGAGGTCTCCCAGGTCCATGTCAGTCTCTGTGTAGTTGCCCTCCTGGGCCAGGCTGGGCCACAGGCGAGCCGTTCCCTCCGCAGCCACCACCAGGACAGAGATGGACTGAACTCCAGCTGTCTCTAGAGGAGCGGTGGACGACATGGCCACAAGATCGGCAGTGTAGTTATACTCACTGCTGGGCAGCTGCAGCTCCTTACACACTGACAGCTGCAGGAAAAACACAAAGAGAGTTGGTGGACTTGAATTATGAATCAGTGAGTGTTTCCTCTACGACTGCAAGTAACTGTGTAACCCAGACAAATCTGTGAGCTCATGATTTATTGACTCTGGGAGGTGCGACTGGTCCCCCTCTGCTTTGGACAGATGTTTGAGATGATCACCGTGAAGAGGTGAGAAACAGGGAAAATTCTTGATTAATTGAAGTCATAGGCAACAAAACATCTGTATGCTCAGTACTTCCCAAATACACACTTTTTTATCAGAGAACCTGGTCGCCTATGACTTAAATTCATCAACAATCTTCTCTTTTTTTTTGATTCTTTGTTCATGATGGAGGCATGCAAGAAAGACAAAGTTCAAGACTGTAGTCAGAGCATTCTTTGCTAAACTTTCTCATTGGACAGTTAAATCTCTGGACAGGAAAGTTGGTCTTTGTTTTGTTACTTTGCAAGTTTCAGTTTTTGGATCTTGAGCTGTACCTTGGCCACAGCAGTCTGACAGATCTTCCAGATGATCAGTCTCTCTCCGCAAACCATCCAGGCCCAGCCGCTCTCATTCACCTTCACTGAGATCTGGTCATCAGCTACAGGAACCAACACACACAACACATACAACTGTTAAATGGAAGAAGTGGAACAGGATACGGTACTTGCAACAAACCATGACAGACAGAAAAGTTTTCTTTACTGTCAGCCATCGTCAGTGCCTCCATCACTTTGACAGGAAGCGATGAGCCGAAGGTTTGCACATCATAGTTGATTGAATCTGCAGCTGTGTGGCTCTGCACTCTGGTGGGTGTTGACCTGATGGACAGAGAATTAAATGAAGTAAAAATGGAAGGGTTACTGTTGGTTGAACAAATGTTTTATTACAAGAATACAAACTTGAAACCATCTTTTTTTTTTAAATGTGAGCATGTGTAAAAAGTCTCCTCTTCAAAAACTAAAATAAAGGTGAGATTCTCCATCCAGTCACATTTTTTTTTGATATCTTAAATAAGCAAATGTACACAGTATGATAACGGTCAACTTGAAACTGGTACATCACGACAACCCTAATATTAGGTGTAGAGTCTTTCAATAGAAAACATTACATTTCAGGCTCTGAGGGGTGAATGGGGTGAACTTTTCAGACACGTTTTCTGGGCAACAACAATAAACCAATGTCATGTGGATACCACCCAACATGTTCCACCCACTCAAACACCGTTGCAGACCAAGTACCCCCCCTCATGGCAACAGTATTCCCCAATGGCAGTGGCACCCCAACAGAAAAAGCAGCATGCCACACTAGAAAACCTGTTTAGAAATGGCCTGTGGAGCATGACAAAAAGCTCAAGGCATCGACCTGGCTTTTAAATGTCCCAGGTCCCAATCTGCTCAAGGATTCTTGTGATGTGCCAGTACCCCAGATGTACCCCTAATCCAAGATGGGGCCTCCTTGGATTGGACTTGGCTCTGACCTATCGAGGCATGGACACAGGATCTCTGGGAGTGTCCTGCAGTGTCTGCACCAGTGTGTTGGTGGCAGATCCATTTAGCCCGGTGGGTTGTGAGGTGGGTTAATGGCACGTGCCACAGATGCTCATTCAGATTGGGATCTGGGGAATTTGGAGGCCAGGTTGACACTTTGAGGTCTTTGTCACATTCCTTTGGCCATTCCTGAGCGATGATTGTAGTGTGGCATGGTACATGTTCTGCAATAGTGTTTGAGTGGGTGGAACATGTCGGGTGGTATCCACATGAATGCCAGAACCAAAGGTTTCCCAGCAGAACAATGCATTGGAACAACATAATCAAAGTTATTCACTTCACCTGTCAGTGGTTTTAATATTTTGGCTGATCGGTGTATGTTCACTGTGCTGAGTGTGTAAGTGTTTAAACATGTACAAACATGTGCATTGTGCTACATTACACTGTATGAACTAGTATGTAAAACCACGTTTAAAACTAAAACCATGAAACGTTGAAACATAAAATATTTAAAGGATCACAGTAGTTCACACTTAATTTCCTGTTAATCGCATAGTTTCAGCTGTACTCTTATTAACTGTTCATTACTTTAACAAAATATACAATTTTATACTCTTACCATGTCTTGTTGAGTGACTAAGACTGTCATTTAAATGTAGAGGAGTTAAAAGTACAACAGTGATAAATGTAGTGGAGTAGAAGAAGGAAGCAGCATGAAAAGAAGAGAAAGAAATAGATTTGTACTTAAATTAAGTTCAGTGCTGCTAATTATATCCCCTATAATGATTTAAACCTTCACGAAGCGGGAATTTATTACAGCATTGTTGTATTAAATGATATTCGTTTGATCTAGATGTACCTAATAAACTGGCAGCATAGTGTATTTTGCACAAACAACAGGTAAAACGCTACCGGTCAGCGTTTTCACTCACCTCGCCGACAGAGGCGTCCTCCGCGGGGAGAACAGCAGGCTGGTGGCCGCACCGGAGACGCTCTTCCTCCCGGTGTTCCTGCCCTGCTGCCGCCGGCCGGAGCTCGGAGCACCGCGGGGGCTGAACATACCTGCTGTAGAACCCGGTACTGCTCAACAGTCGAGGAATATATTAAGTTTTAACCGAGAAAAGAAAACGAACACCCCAAACTTCTCCGTCAAATCTTCTCCAAACAGCGCGCGGTGCAGTCGCTTGAAATATACGTCATCACCGGGTTAACGGAAAGTCCCGCCCTCCGCACAAAACGACACTTTTTTAAAAAAGATGCGAAGGCATAAAATAAATCAGATTTATTGGACTTAAATTGACAGCAACTCATTTTAAAATATTTTTTAATGACATTTAACGATGAAAAACTAATTATCTTGACAAAATAATAATAATAATAATAATAATAATGATGATGAATTTTAGTTATTAAAAAGACATACTAGAAGTTTATAAAATATATATTTTTTAGTGCTGCTAAGTACAGCTGACACAATTTAATCGATTGACAGAAAATTATTGTAAACTACTTTGATTTTTAAAAAATATTTTATGTATAAACATTTCACACTTTTAGTTTAACGTGGAGACTGAGAGATTTGCTGCTTTTCCTTCTAATAATGTTTATAGTTGAAATGCTGATAATTGTACACATGTACATACTTCTTATGTTCATTCTTATTCTCGTTTTTATTCAATTAATGAATTTATTGCAGCAAACATTGTAGCATAATACACATTTTATTTTATTGTATTTTATCACCTTGTAATTTGCTTATTTAAAACACTGAAAAATGCAAATAGGCGGAAAATCTGAGCTTTATTTAATTATTTTTAAAGAAGAGACTTTTTACACATGCTTACATTAAAAAAAAATATGGTTTCAAGATATTTTTGGTATATTGTCATAAATTCTAGTTTTTATTTTTTTCATCGACAGCCGAACGACAGAAATCACTACGAACTACTCCTAAAAGTTTAGATTTAATTAAAATGACCTGCTGTTTGGTGAATTAAGGCTCCTGGCGCTTGTTTACCGTAATTTTTAAATGAAGTTTGATTTAGTTGAATTAGCCGCGCACGTAGAGACCAATCCAGATGTAAGTAGTGGATCGTCGATGTAATGAGGACAAACCAGGATGACGAGTAGATTAACGATAGCTGATGGAGGATTGTTACAGTCTGTGAAGATGACCGGGGGCGGAAAACCCACGATGGAGCGGCAACGACATCCAGCAGCGTAGTTTGAACCGAGGACCGAGTTGCGTTAAAACCTCACCATCTTATACAAAGTAACTGAGCACGGAGAAGAACAGCACGATATGCAGTGAGTATCGATTTCCAATCGGTTGTGCTTCGGAATCGGATCAATCCCGCTAAAAGTTTGGAGCCGCCAGGCCCGCTGCTACTAGCGCTAAGTTAGCATCCTCCTGTAATGTGGACTGCAGGCGGGTTTTAGACCGGATTAACGCGCTCATAATGCCTCGTTTCAGGCTTCCACAACCCTTTCAGCCTAACTCGCATATTTAGACTGTCAACAAGGGTGTAATAAATGTTTAACGCCTTAGTAAACACACTAGCTCGCCTCTTTGCTAGCTAATTAGCTATAGGGAAGATGCTGTGCTCAGGAGGGTCAATATTGTCATGGAGATGATTAATCGGATTTAAGACACTGTAAAAGGACATGCACTCCGTGTTTTGCATATTTTGTTTTAGCTTTTAAACATATACAAAGCACACAGTCATAAATTGACAGTGAACAAACACCAACTCTACATTACGAAGGTTACAAAAATAAATTAATAGACAGTAAAATGAATTAAATGCAAATAAAAATGTAATTATTGAATACCACACTACGAAAATGGGAGTTGGGGGCTTGAGAGATAGGGTAGTCTTGTCTACAACTGCATGGTCTCTTGCAATATTAGTGTGGTGAAAATAGACAGACCATGCAGACAGTCATTAAGTCATATGGGATGGGAAATTTTCCATATAAATAATTAAAGGTCGCCATACTTTATAGATGGAGTGAATCTTATTATTTAGAGAGTAAGTTATTTTCTGTAGAGGTGTGCAACAGTTCACTTCTGAGAGCCAATGATGGGAGATCTGACTCATTGCAATACTATTTTTACCAATAGCCAGTAGGGTTTTTGTAAGCTTAGTGGGATGGCTATGTCTGATATTAGAATTGAAGAGGCTGCCCAAAAAGCATACTTCCAGATCCACTGGGAAAGTGACTTCATGGATTTGTGGATAGGGCATCACAGATCCCCTGCCGAGAGCCTTGTAGTGTACTACACTGCCAGGTGGAATGAAGCAAAGTGCTCTCAGCTAGACCACATCTAAGGAAAGGGGTGAGAAATTGGGCTTGAACCTGTGAAGCTTGGAAGGGGTGAGATAAGTCTGACGAAGAAAATTGAACTGAATGAATCCATATCTTGAGTTTGGAAAACACAATTTTAAATGGTTTGCTGTCTCTGGTGATGTTTGTGTTTGACAGACTGAGTGTGAGAGGGATGTGCAGGTGTGTGACAGTGGTGGAAGAAGTACACAGATCTTTTTTTTACTTAAGTAAAAGTAGTAATACCAAGAAGGGATGCACGATATTAGATTTTTTGACGATACACCGCTATTTAACAGCTCTTTTAGCCAATAACAAGTGTCGATACATCCATTTTCCCCCACCTACTTTAAGTGATCATCAACTGTTATCATATTATGCATGTATACTCTTATCGTGATGGCCCACCTGTAGATGGTGGTGATGGTTCCTCTCCTCAGTCAGTTTGAGCTCTTGAGCTCCAGGAGGCACTATAGAGTCCCTCTGGCAACTAAAAATGTATATAAGAAATCCCTCATCCCAGATGCCATCAATTATCATCTATCTAATAGTCATCTATTCTTAACTCAACAAAGTGACGGATGAGCAGACCCATACCGAATCCGTGCCCGCAGATTTTGGGATTGTAGATGCTGCTTGTAGAACTCATAATGTTGTCACTGTCTCCTCCACCTCCTTGTGCATTAAAATCAAAGTCAATGGTGTAAAGAGAGGAAATATCAAAAATAAGATTTACTGTCCTCTCTGCTCCATATATTGAACCCTCCATCTTAATGGCCATGTGTCCATGCCTACAAATGTTGAATTTTTTCCTTGAAGAAGTCATGATTAAATAAAATTTCTGTTTCAAAGCTTTAACTAAATCTACAAAGTAGTTCCTTTAGCCTGTTTGAGGTAATTTAAGGTTTTATTGGTCAATGGACTGCACTTACATAGCACTTTTCTAGTCTTTCGACCACGCAAAGTGCTTTTACACTACATGTTACATTCACCCATTTACACACACAGCCACACACTGGTGGCCGAGGCTACCATACATGGTGCCACCTGCTACTCAGTAACCATTCACATGCACTCACGTGCCGATGGAACAGTCATTGGGAGCAATTTGGGGTTCAGTATCTTGCCCAAGGATATTTCGACATGCAGACTGGAAGAGTCTGGGATTGAACTGCTGATCTACTGATTAGTGGATGACCCACTCTACCTCTGAGCCACAGTCGCCCCGTTTTCAAAAACAAATATTATAAATGAATATTGTCTATCACATTACGAGGAAAAAAAATACATAAATTCTGCAGATTTTCATTTTGGATCACAGCTGAAAACAATTACAGAATCCATTGTTTCAGTTTGGACCTGTCGATAAGTTGTAAAGCACTGACAGACACTGACATGAACTGATTAAATGTGTTATTTTTTAATGACCTTACCTGAATGTTTAACTAACTGCTTGTCTATTTTTTATTATGTTTGTGACCTGTGTTCGGTGGGCCAAAGACAAATGTCCACCCTGGTGGACAATAAAGATCTGTTCAGCTCTGTCCAGTAACAATAGTATTTTTAATCAATACTCACCTCAATACTCAAGTAAAGTACAAGTACCTCAAAACTGTAGTTATGTACAATACTTGAGTAAATGTACTAAGTTACATTCCACCACTGGTCTGGTGATGCTTTTTTTTGTTTCATTTTCAGGTCATGAAGCGTGTTCGCACTGAGCAGATCCAGTATACCGTGGCTCAGTACCTGAAGCGGAGGCAGTATGTGGACACTGATGGCTCCCTGAAAGGAGCCAAGCTCTTCCAGTCAGCAGAGGAGATGGCGGCCAGCCTCACAGGTGAGCCAGCTGCGAAGACGAAAATGATGGTGGCATTTGTCTCTCATGCCACATTTATTTGACAGCTACAATCACTATGATTTTACATACAGCACATATGATCAGTTTATATATATTTTATCTACACTTGGGGATGATAGTATTAATACTTTCTCTTCTACCTCTTTATCTGAGCAGTACAGACTGAGTCGGGGTGTGCCAACATCGTCTCTGCTGCGCCCTGTCAATCTGACCCACAGCAGTACGAGACTCAGTACTCCAGGCTGCGCTCCTTTCTGTCAGGTATCACATCCACACTCTTGCTGCACATTCTGCAGTACGTTGTTTTAGCAATCATACTTTTGGATGCTGTGTGACCTTGTTTTAAACTACAAAACCCTCAGAGACCTTTTATCTCCCTTAAATCAGAAACAGAAATATCCTGGGCGAAGGAGGTGAGCAGCATCCTCTACCCGCTCTTCGTCTACCTCCACCTAGACATGGTGCACTGTGGCCTGAAGGGGGCAGTAGATGGTTTTTACAGCCGTTTCCACAGTGCCTTTCTTCAGGACAGCGAGCAGCGCGCCATCATAGAGCAGCTCCGCCATGTTCTCACCACTCAGGACGTTGCAGCCAACCCCAAGCTGAGTGCTTTCCTGGAGCACAAGTACGTGGTGCACCTGACCGAGCCGGCCTACAGCTACCTGCTGCGCTACCTGCAGAGTGAGGACAACAGCGCCCTCTGCAGGGCCTTTAGCACACACCTGCAGGTGGAGGTCACTGCCTCGAGACGCACAGACTACCAGCTATATGGAGCTGTTGGCGGGGTGACCACAGCCCCAAACTCCACCTCCTCCTGGGCAGGAGTGGATGGGGCAGAGGGTGGGGAGGGGGTGGAGGTCCCTGCAGGGATTCCACAAAGTGAGGCGGCCCTGGATGCTCTGCAGGACTGCATCAAGAAAGTCCGCGAGGGCCCCCCCACGCTCACCACTGTGTGTTTCTACGCCTTCCACCACACGGAGCAGATGTTAAACACCGCGGAGGTCTCGGCTGACAGCCGGCTGCTGGCCGCCGGTTTCGACAGCTCCACAGTGAAACTGTGGAGCCTCCGAGCCAGAAAGCTGAAGGCCAAACCGCATCAGGCTGACGTGTCGCTCATCCACCTGGCCTGTGACGTACTGGAGGAGGAAGTGAGTAAACTGATGGGGTTGGGCTGCAACCAATGATTATTATTAGATCTTTATCTGTTTTTTAACTATCACAAAATGTAAATTAATATTCATCACAAGTTTGCAGGGCCTGGAGCGTTGTCTTCAAATCTCCAGTTTACTGGTCCAGAGTATCTGTTCAAAACTAAAGATATTAAATTGACGGTGATGTAACACAGCAAAAAGCAGCAAATCATCCACACAGGCCTGACTGACAGAATGTTTTAAATTTTCATTGCTACTGTAAAATTACTGGAGATTACATTAATAAATTAGGTGAATAACTGTTTCAACACACTTGATTGTAGGTGCGGTTCATTATTTTTTTTAGTTATTTGTTCATTCTAGGGTTTTAATTATTTAAATTTTGAGACTAAAGCGATATCATAACTCTGCCCTTTTAGTTTGATCATTAGCAATGTGACCATTAAATATATGAGATTTTAAATAAAGAGACACAGAAATCATCCTTGGTTTTTATGCAATTAGTAGATCACTTAATTCATTTTAAGTAAATTAGTCTGCAACAATTTTGATATTTGATTAACTGCTTCGAGTCATCATTTATGAAAAATGCCAAAATTCTCTGGTTTCAGCTTTTTCAGTCCAAATATTTCATTTTATTTTATTTTATTTATCTATTTATTTTTTAACCTGATTTTTTTGGCATTTTGGACATTTGGTTGAAAAAATAACACTTCAGGATGTATTTTTTGCTCTCTAGGAAACTTTGTTGTTTCTGATATTTAATTAGCAAATCAATAAATTTAGAAAATAATAAACAGATTGATTGATAATAAATAGAATTGATAGTTGCAATCTTACATTTATGTTTTTAATTAATTAATTTTTGATTTTAATGTCCATCTTTTGGCCCATCTCACATAGGATTACAAGACATTTTTATTTTACAACCTCTGGTCTTGCATATACAAAACAAAACAGGTGGAAAAAGAAAGAAACATAAACAAACAAAAAACAACAACATCCCAAATGAATTGTTCACAAAAGGAGCTAATAAATATCTACAGATTATCTGCATAAAGAGCTTTTTTTTCTCTTGTCCTAGACTTTCTCCAGATAACTGGTGGTGGTAAAACATATATGTTTTAAATGTGAGCAGATGTCTCAGTATTTGTGCATCTTCCATATTCACCAATCTATTATCTACTATTTATATATTTTTATCTGTAACTAAAATCTGTAATTGATTAAATTGACTCCTTTTGTTTTCTCACATAATTTGGATCCCTCAGACTTTTTCAAAAGACAAACAATTACCTACTTTAGACATAAAAGACGAGTAATGTCTGGTGTCATTTGTTCCTCCTCAGGTGGATGAAGAGGACAGCTGCGGCAGTGAGATAAAGACACTGCGAGGTCACAGCGGCCCCGTGTTTCGAACCGCCTTCCTGACAGACAGCTCCGGCCTGCTCTCCTGCTCTGAGGACACAACCATCCGCTACTGGGACCTGGGTAGCTTCACCAACACGGCACTCTACCAGGGCCACGTCTACCCAGTGTGGGATGTGGACGTCAGCCCCTGCAGCCTTTACTTCGCCAGCGGCTCCCATGACCGGACTGCTCGCCTCTGGACGTTCTCCCGCACCTACCCGCTGCGACTTTACGCCGGACACCTTTCTGATGTTGACTGTGTCAAATTCCACCCAAACTCCAACTACCTGGCTACCGGCTCCACAGACAAGACTGTCCGGCTGTGGAGCACCCAGCAGGGGGCGTCTGTTCGCCTCTTCACTGGCCACCGTGGCCCCGTGCTGTCACTCGCTTTCTCACCTAATGGGAAGTACTTGGCGTCCGCCGGCGAGGATCAAAGGGTGAAGCTGTGGGACTTGGCATCAGGGACGTTATTCAAAGACCTGCGGGGACACACGGACAGCATCACCAGCCTGTCTTTCAGCCCGGACAGCAGCCTCGTGGCGTCGTCATCTATAGACAACTCAGTTCGGGTGTGGGACATTCGGAACTCCCACGGCGGGACGCCAGCTGACGGCTCATCTAGCGAACTGGTGGGAATGTACACTGGAAACACCAGCAATGTGCTGAATGTCCAGTTCATGGCCTGCAACCTGCTGCTGGTGACGGGAACTGCACAGGAGAAAGCAGAACAGTAGCCACAGCTGTCTTTTTTGTTTTTCGTTGCTGATGTTTCAGAGAAAAGCTTGAATTTCTCCAGATGTTTGTTTGAAGGTGTGGTCACCAGATGTGTTCTCTGAGTCATCCAATGATGAGAGGTTAAACGCCACCACCTGCACAGGGTGCTTTTTGTCCACATTAGTTCTTTGCATAGAAACGAAGCAAGGTCAGATACCTTTATTTGTAATCCACAAGTCTCATCCTTCCAAAACTGCCTTAGATATTCATCTATAGATAAATTATAATTTGTCTGGGTGGAATTTTGTAATTATGAGAGTGTCCTCAAGAGATGTCAGTATTAAATATCTCTCAGTGTAAAGTCCTGGGTCCCTTGCTGTCATGCACAAGTTTTAAGATCTATAAAAGCAGCGTATTAAATGTGACTGTTGGAAAAATATTGTTCCAGTTGAATTAAAATAAAAATAAAAAATAGTTTTACTCAAATAGGAGATGAAACTGTTTATATTCTGAACTCAGAGAATACTGAAACAAAAGTTACATGGTTTTGTTGCACCAATAAGTATTACGGTAAAAACTCTCAATGGTGCACAGAACATATTCCACTAATGTTCCTGTTTACATGCAGCTGTGCACACTTGGATTAACGTGCCCTAACAGCTGGAGGCGCGTCTCATTTTGCTTCTTTGCATCAAAATAGGATTTTTTTCAAAGTTTCCTACCAGTGGTGGACTTGTTTGACCACACGAATACAGCCTCCCTCTTTCATTCCTTTAACCAGCTTCTTGGAAAAGTCGCTGTTGTGATATTTGTGTAAAAACCTGTTCATATCCCAGTCTTTCATGATGTTTAAAAGCAGGTGTGTTTCTCCTTCTGACCAGAAATGTGGGCTTTTCTTTTGGGCATGCATCTCTACCGACAGCCTTCAATCTACTGGTATTAATCATGAAATGGCAAATGTGGAAAAAGGCTTACTTCTAAATATCCAAACAGAATATGCTCTTTACATGACCAGCATCAAATACAGAATATTTTTTGGAATAATAGTGGAATACTAATGTGCACGTAAACATATTCAATATGATTTTGAATGACTGCTAGAACAGAACCAGGAAGTTCTGGTTTCACTTTAGCTCTCTATTAAAGTGAAACTTTTGTATTCTCCAACCTGGACTCCATTTTCCAATGTTTTTGTGGCCAAGTGGCTAATGGCAACAACTATTTTCCAAACTGGTCCAGTACTGAAATAGGGCGCGCTGCAGCCAGCAGTTGAAATGGAAACACCTGGGGAATTTGGCACTGTCAGTGTACGTCCACCAGAAAGCGCTTGTTTTTGCCACTGACGGGTTCAGATTGTTCTGTAAGTGTTGACAACATTATGGAAAAGACCCCTCAAGAAATGAAAGTTTTTCTGTACCTTTCGTTGGTCTGTTATTGTGACAAAGTCTCACTCAAGGAGAAGTCCCGAGAGAGGTGACTTGTCAGAGGAAAAACAATGGTGGAAACATTAGTGAGATTCAGAGAGAGGAGTGCAGGGAAGAGTTTGTTGTGTTGGAGAACAAAAAGTGTTATCTGAAAGATTTTCAGTGTCGTGGCTGAATATTTAGCTGATTCAACAATGTGGAAAAGATTTCAGATAGGGATGCACGATGTTAGATTTTTCACCGATATCCGATATGCCACTTTTTTCCACTTAATTTTACGGATTATCAAGTCTCTTCTGTAGTGGAATTAACATCATATAATGTATGCTAACTCTTACCGTGACGGCCCATCAGTAGATAAGACATGAAATACAATACTTTTCAATGTATGCTTTATTCATTCATTGTGCAAATTAAGAAAAAACTTGTTAGCTGATCTGATGGTTCATTTTAAAGCCGATTTTAGTCGATACCGATGACATACAGATATTATAGTGCATCCCTAATTTCAGAACAAGACTGAGCGAGACTTTGTTACATACAATAACAAACAGACCGGATTAAGCGAACAATAAAGAAAAAGGTTTAATTTCTCTGCAGGGTCTTTTCCTAAATTTACACTTAAAATAATATTCTGAGCTTGTCAGTGGTAAAAATGTCAACGTTTCACAGCTGCTGTCTGCAGCACTCTGGACCAGTTTGTTGTCTCCGTTGGTCACTTAGACACAAAACAGAGAAGACCTGGGGTCCAGGTTGAAAACTACCAAAGTTACACTTTAAGGTTAAGTAACCAGTCCTAGCTCTGGATTTATCTGACTCTGGGTAAGGTGGCAAAGAAGAATATTTCCAAAAATGTGGGATTATTCTTTTAAAGTTGTCCTCATGTTTTCCCTGCCTGAACCCCCATGCAACTCTAAATCAGCTCTCTGTTGTTAGAAACATTTAAATCTGGAGGAAGCAAACTTTCAGAAATGAAGAAACGGAGTTCAGAGGCTGTATTTTGAGATTTCAAAGGGTCTCTGAGGTCGAATATGAACGCTAATGAGTGATAATGTGAACTTTAAAGCACCAGAACAGGTGGTGGTTGTTTCTTCTCTCTTGGTTTGTCTCTGACCCGCTGTAGGTTTTGAGTAGCCTTGTTGCACTTGAGCCTTGTTGAGGACATTTCTAGGAATCAAAGGCTGTATTTGTCACACTATTCTGCAGGTGGCATGAACTGTGCAATGTTAAGAAAGTGTAAATACTTTGTATTTTTGTAATATTTCGGCTGCCAAGAGTCGCTTCCAGGTTGTGCTTGACGAGGGCTAAAAAGAAAAATACTTATAGAGACTGATTTCATATGTCTGGAATAAGTTTTAATGCATTCAGTGTTTTTTTTATAGTCGTTTTGAATATTTCTTTGATAAATTCAGCCTGGAAGTCGTCCTTTATGTTTGTCGGTAAACTTGTGTTCCCTCCTGTAGCCCAAAAATAAATAACAGAATTTATTTGAGCTAATGTTTCGCTCAGCTTCTTTACTTTTGTTTTGTCACTTGTTTCGTGCAGGTGAGGGTCTGTTTTGTTATGCCAAGCCTTGTTTTGTGATTCAGCTTCATATGCATATTAAACACCCCGATACTGATGTCGTTAAACCTGATGCACTGGACTGCATCTTCAAACAGGCCTGGGCAGACAGCAAAACTCTGCATGTGGCTCAGCTGGTTATAAAAATAAATTAATCCTTTTGAGTTCGTTTGACAAACTAAATTCCACATGATTAAAATGATCAGAGAGGACTGCCAACCTTTAAATAAATACTTAATGTCATCACCTGCTGGAGAGATGATGTTTGAGCAGGATGTGGAACATGTGGACAGACGGGAGGGAACAGCTGAAAGAGATCATGTATGACAAAACAAACAAACACTGCAAAGTTATGCTCCACGCAAGAATCAAACAAGCAATCCTTTGCCTGTAATTTTCCATTAAAGGTTTCTGTTATTGATTCTACCTGTACTGATATAACTGGGGTGGACAAAATGATAGAAACACCTGTCAGTGTAACACAATACAATTCAACATCCTAAAAGTGATTGTACAGTTACACGTCTCTAAAACTGTCAACAAAAACTGAACATTATAAACGTTGTGATAGTCGAAACTTTGCAGAGATGGAAGAAGTATTCAGATCCTTACTAAAGTATAAGTACCACACTGTGAAAATACTCCACTACAAGTTAAAAGTCCCGCATTAGCTTAGTTTATTTTGGTAATTTTTCAACGTATACAACTCACTATATGTATATCATATCCATCCATTTTCATACGCTTATCCAGGGCGAGGTCAGCAGGCCAAGCAAAGCACCCTAGACGTCCCTCTCCACAGCAACACTTTCCAGCTCCTCCTGGGGGAGATGGACTGGCCAGACCAGATATGTAATCCCTCCGGCGTGTCCTGGGTCTACCCCTCCTCTGAGAATCAACATTTTAACGTAGTGGAAGGTTTTCTGTGTCTCTGTGAGCCTGGAAGCTGTGTTGTCTGGGGCTAATGGCCCCTGGTAGGGTCTCTCAAGGAAAAGTGGTCCCAGAGGAGGGGCCAGACTAAGAGCGATTCAAGAGGACCCTGATGACATGGCATATTTGGACTTTGAGCACCTCGGGCTCTCCTGGAGCCAGACCTGTGGGGGGAGCTTGCTAGTGAGCGTCTGGTGGGCAAGCTCAGCCCAAATAAGTAACATGGGAGTCTCCGCCCTGTGGGCCCACCACCCGCAGGGACAGGGATCAGGGTCAGGTGCATTGTGTGCCGGGCGGCAGGCAGGGGCGGGGCCCCGGGCATTCTGATCCCTGGCCTTGCAGACTGTATATTATGTATAGACCCCAAAGTCCAAAACAAATTTTCATATACACACACTGGCGTGAATAACTCTAAATTTTAAATATATGAAGTCATGTTTTACACATTTTTAATTCATTTTCAAAACTATTCCACACCTCTACTCCTTCAACTGTTCGACATCTTTGTTTTGCATTTGTTCTCATTTTTGTTTTTGTAAATGCACAAGTTCCTCTTAGTTCATACTGACTCTCTTTAATGTGGTACAACTTGAAGCACCTTATTTTTTACTTCATATATTAATCGTGCAGTTTTTAAAGTCCAACAAGTTTCTAAATTTAAGAGCATGGGAGTTCATAAATCATTTGTTGGTTCTTGATGTCAGCTCTACTAATGAATCTTACAACTTCTCGTCACATAAAAATTGGATTTCTGAGTGTTATGTATGTTTTTTCCCCAAACCTCCACACAGTAGGTAATGTATGAAAGTATAAAAGAATGACACAATATATTAAATGAATTTAGGGTTAGGATGTCCTTTGTTTTGTGCAATATAACAACAGACTTCAACATCGTCGTCCTTACATTATTATATGTGGTTTCCAGCACAGTGTATGGTCTCCCAAAACTTTATTTTCACATGTTCTTCATATATATATCCAAATATAAGGAATTTCTTTTTATTTAAATTTAACAACTTATTAATATCAAACCAATGTTTGAAAATTTTCAATTCTGTTTCCACTGTCACCAAAAGCTCCAAATCTTTACCAGAACAAATTCAAACAGAACCTCACTTGAGTAAAAGTATCATCAAAATGTGCTGTGCTGTAAAATGTCCCTTGTCAGTGTTTTCCCATTGTGCCTGATGTTTTTGAATTAATATTGCTGTTGCATTAATGTGTATGTTGCATTTTACCTCTGTAGATGTTTAAGGTTGTGCTCATTTAAACTCCTTTATATCCCGCTGGTCAGTTTAATCTACAGCAGTGCATCATATTCTATAAGATCATCATATGTTGGCAGCATTGCTGTCCTGTGAGAACTATGTACATCATAATCAAATAATATACATTATTCTTATGAGTCATTCTGCATTATGAGCACTTTTACTTTTTGTATATGGAGCTGAATACTTCCTCCACCTCTGCCATCTACCGCCCCCTTCAGGCAACAGTGCATCACGTCCAGGTGGAGGTAGTTTAAGAGCAGGTAGAGCAGGGACACTCGATTCGCTTTGCCTCTGGGCCACTTTTACAAAATGACAGGAGTCCAGAGACCGGTTAATAAACAAACATTATCAGTATATATAATGACTGAATCACCTGTTTTTAACCTTTCTATGTTTGCTCTCCTCACTCTTCTTTGCCAAGAGGCAAATCCGGTCGCAGCAGCACTGCACAGGTCAGGTGTACACAAGAGGCATTTTTAAAATGTGAGGTTGGGGTCTTGGGGATCCTCCCTTGCACTTTTTTTTTTTGATTAACAAGCTTTACACCAATCAGTCAAAACATTAAAACCACTGACAGGTGAAGTGAATAACATTGATCATCTTCTTACACTGCAGTGTTCTGCTGGGAAACCATTGGTCCTGGCATACATGCAGATGTTACTTGATGCCCTCCACCCACCCAAACACTGTTGCAGACCAAGTAAACTCTCTCATGGCAACAACACTTGTCGATGGTAGTGCCCCCCCCCCCCCCCCCCCCCCCCCCCCCCCCCCCCCCCCCCCCCCCCCCAGCAGGACAATGCACCACAACAACTGCTCAGAAATGACCTGAGGAACATGACAAATAGCTCAAGACGTCGACCTGACCTTCAAATACCCCAGATCCCAATCTGATTGAACATTTGAGGGATGTGCTGGTACTCCAGAGGTACCCCCGATCCATGGTGGGTCCTTCTTGGACGGGAATTGGCTCTGGCCTGTCAAGGCTTTGACACAGGAGTCCTGGAGGGTGTCCTTTGGTGCCTGGCATCAGGGTGTTACTTTCAGATCTTTTGAGTCCTGTGTGTTGTGAGGTGGGGTAACAGCATGTCCCATAGATGTTTGATCAGATCGAGATACAGGGAACATGGAGAACAGGTTGATGCCTTGAGCACTTTGTCACGTTCCTCAGGTTAATCCTGAGCAGTTGTTGTGGCGGGGCGTGGTGCATTGTCCTGCTGGGGGGGGGGGGGGGGGGGGGGGGGGGGGGGGCGGGGGGGGGGGGGGGGGGGGGGCACTGTTACTGAGGAGTGCTGTTGCCATGAGGGAAAGTACCTGGTCTACACTGGTGTTTAGGCGGGTGGAGCGTGTCAGGTGGCAGCCACACGAATGTCAGAACCAAAGGTTTCCCAACAGAACACTGCACTGTAACAACACGATCAATGTCAGTGTTTTAATGTTTTGGCTAATCGGTATGTGTTGATGCTTTAAAATGCACTCTGGCACCTTTTTACATTCAAAGTACAAAGACGAACATTCTCTGTTTGAATCAGCTTAATTGTATTTACTGGTTGGCGGACCTGTCGGCACCCTATCACGGGCCTGATGTTGCCCGTGGGCTGTAAATTAAGTACCACTGAGGCAGAGGATGCTGCTCGCCTCCTTCACCCGGGATATTTATGTTTCTGATTTACATCTACTTAACGTCACATCTAAAAACAGGGTTACTACAGTACATTAAAACTCCTGGAAAAGTTAGGAATGTAGAAAAATGTTTTCCAGGCCTGGAAATGGTTTGGAAATGGCAGAATGTTTTGGAAAAGATTTGAATACGTTATTTAGGCCATTGTTTAAAAATAACACGTTCATAAAGACTCCATAACATGGAGCCATTTGGTAAATGGCTAAATGATGCTGGTGATGGATAGCTAACGTTAGCTTGGGTGGGAAAGAGAAATAAATGCATACAAACTTGTCAGAATTATGATCTAAAACTTATGTTAACGTGCATTGACATTGACAGGATCTTTGGGTTTCTAGGTCTCAAAAAAAGAGCAATACCTCTGCGTTTTGTGAAGCACCTGTAGATGACGGTCAGGTCAAGTGGCACATGAAGCTAGTAGGAATGTCTAACAAGTTAGCAAGCACTAGCAGTTTGTATCAGCAAATTCCTGTGAAGTGCATGTTTAATAATGTATAGCTGTATAAACCTACCCATTTAAAACTACTTAACTAAAGTCATGGAAACAGGGTAAAATACAATGGAAAATTTTTGAAAATTAATTTGTAAAAATGTGTAGACACCCTGTAGACAGGACTTGGACACAAAATTTTGTGGATGCTTGTATCAGCTGAGATATTTAAATTGAGTGCCTAAAATGCAACCAAACCCTCACAGATAGTAATCTCACTGTACAACACATAGCTGTGTAAATACATACTCATCGTAAGATATGTCAGGAATCCAGAGACTCCGCAGCAGGAATGTGGTTGCTCAGAGAAATGAGGACAGCCTGGAGTAGTGAGTCTCTGACTGATGTGGGTGGCAGGGTGCAGCTGAGATGACGCTGGCACACCCCTGTTCTGCTCAATTACTCAGACACAGACACAGACACAGACACAGATAGAGTGGAGAGGAAGGGAATTACACAGAGTATACAATAACACTATCATCTATAACCAGGGACAGATTATGAGACACTGGGCCCCTCACCTGTCCTCTGTAGGAGGACACCCAGGCCAAAGACAC